TTCTCCTCGGGCTATTTACGTGTCTTCGGACCGTGGCGATCGATTCACCAAAGCCGAACTCCCATCAGCCACCTCAGAGCAGGTGAGGAAGAAGGACTGAATGAACTTACACACTATATCCATCACCTTGTTCAAAATTTTCACCTGGTGGAAGGTCAGAAACTTCAAACAAGACAAAACAGAGGTTATTTCCTCACACGCACACACACACACACACACACACACACACACACACACACACACACACACACACAGAAATGCTTATGCACATGGCTGGAGATATGTAAGGATGCTGGTCTCAGGATATTTTTATCAATTCAGCAGAAAAAAGACTTTCTCCCACAACCTCTATGTTGACAGTCTGCCAGGTGCGCACACACACACACACACACACACACACACACACACACACACACACACACACACACACACACACCTAGACATCCACCGAGCTGTGTCACTCATTTGTTTATCAAACCCGCATGTTCCTACTCTCTGTTTTCAGTTCTACTCCGTTCTGGATGGCGATGAAGATATGATCTTCATGCACGTGGATAGCCCTGGAGGTACAAACCTAACTGATGATCTTTCTCTGAAATGACTCTGTTCTTAAAAATACTAAGTACTTAAGGATGTTACAAAATCTAAAGTGACACATCATGTCATCCTGGTTTAATGAGAAACCACTTGATTTAAAAAAAACTAAACATTTTTTAATACACAGAGTCTAATGCTTTATCTGCTCGGTTCGTCTGTGTTGCTAAGTGCTGACGAGACGAGTTCTTGAAAATGCTGACAAATCGGGACTATTTGAGCAACTAGCATGAAACCTGGCCTTTTTTTTTGGCTTCATATTTCACTAATCCTAGAAGGTGTAGCGAAGGCAGAGGGCAGTGTTTTTTGTTGTTGTTTTGTTTTGTTTTTCAGCTAAAATGCAATGGCAGTGACTTTCTGGCCATGCCTGAACAACACGAGAAGCTTGACTGCGACAAAGAAAGCCTTGACTAACCTAAGACTCGGCTAACACTTTACACTGTGATCCCGTGCATGTAGATGAGACGTATTTTGGTACAGTGTACACGTCTGATGACCGCGGCATCCTGTACTCCAAGTCTCTCGAACGCCATCTGTTCGGCGGCGAAAGGAAGAGCGACTTTACGAATGTGACGTCATTGCGAGGAGCATATCTCACCAATGTTTTGGAGGAGGGTACGATTCACGTGCATGTCCTGTGTTTGTTTTTAAGATCGGGCCATCGGTGTCATCCAGTGGTCAAGAAATTCGTTTCGAATATTTTTTCAAAGGCAAACTGGATTATTCGAAGGTTTGACGTGCAGTACATTGGGTGAAACCTGTCTTCTAGTCTATCAAGCGACGTTAACAAAAAAGGCTCTTCGGTGAACTCCACCGTGTGCTCGTCTTGTGAATTCTAAAGCGCGTTGTGACGTTTGTTACAGATGGACGGATTTGCACAGTCATCACCTTCAATAACGGTGGAAAATGGTGGCCAGTAAAAAAGCCAACAAACGTGGAATGCGAAGGAAGCGTTAAAAGGGTATGTACATTCGGTATTAATAACCTGTTTCAGAGTAGACCGAGATAACACCTTGTGTTTGTATGTTTCAGTGTAACTTGCACATTCATGGAGAGCACAGCCTCTACAGCAGGATTTCTCCCATGCTGCCTCTGTCTCATCCTTCTGCTGTTGGTCTGATCATCGCTCATGGTAACAACCACGAACCAGCATCGGCTAATCATTCACACGCTGTCACCCAGTGTACGAGCCTACAGCCTCTTCATTTTCACAGGCAGTGTCGGGGACTCCATTTCTGTGTCTAAGCCGGACGTGTACGTCTCCTCGGATGGAGGGTACAACTGGATACGTGCGCTGAGAGGACCTCACCAGTATGGCATACTGGATTCAGGAGGCCTGATCGTGGCTGTGGAGCTTCACAGAGATCTACAGGCTAATGCGATAAAGTATGCTCAAGGAAATTCACATAACTGATGTACAAATCATAGCAGTTCAAGCTTGTTTATACAAATGTGTGTGCGTGTGTGTTCTCAGATTCTCCACAGACGAGGGTCAATGTTGGAAGGCTTATAATTTCACAGAGCATCCCATCTTCTTCGCTGGCATTACAGCTGAGCCTGGTGCCAAGACTCTGAACATCAGTGTGTTTGGTTACCGGCCTGATGATGACGATCAGCCCACGTGGGTTGCGGTGACTATAGACTTTGAGCAGCTTCTAGCCAGAGAATGTGAGTCAAAAAAATAGTGGCTATGAGTAAAGATAGAAAGTAAAGCTTTTTAATTTTTGTATCTTTTTTTTTTTGGTCGTTTATTATAATTCAGTAGGAACATGCCGTGTATTGTGTGATGCTTGCTTTCTAAATGAATTCCATTATATTCTATTGAAGCTGTATTCGGTGACATTTTTCATATTCATTTTTTTCTCTGTTGAGAAGCAAGCTTGAAAAATCTCCCATTGAAATATAACCCTATGAAGTTCATCCTTTTTGTCAGTCTACGTCAGCTTCTATTTTCGACTGCAGTCATATAATAATTCACACTGTAATACACACTTTACAGACTGATTCAAATGTTTCTCTGACTGTCGGTGATGTTCACCAGGTGGTGAGCAGGACTACATCGAGTGGTTGGCCCACTCTGATGAAGGAGAACGAGATGCAGAGACAGTTGGATGTGTCTTAGGCTACAAGGAAACTTTTCAGAGGCTTAGGAAGACGTCAGCCTGCAGAAAGGGGCGCAACTACGTGGTCAGTAAGCACCAGAGATCGTGTCCCTGCTCCAGAGAGGATTACATGTGGTAATGAGACACCTCGTTAGGACTGCAGTATCCTGTGACATACAGTATTTCTTGCATCGACCGAGATTTTCGTCAGGTGAAACAGCTTCTGACATAATCTCTGGTATTATTATAGTATTCTGAATGTTGTGAAACAGCATGCGTTAAAACAAACACAAAAAACGTTGAGAACTGTTTCAGTGGGGAGGCAGAGGAGCTCCAGACAACAGGGCATGTGGCATTCCATCATTTAATCTCTTATACATGCAGTATATACACACGCACGCACGCACGCATGCAGATTCACCATAATGACACTTTGTGCATTATATGTAAAGGTATCGAAAGCTCCCCAGTGATAAATGTGAGGGTGGCTTTAGCCCCCAACGTCAGATGGATGCCACCAAAATGCATTGTGGGAATACGAGCCAGCCTTCCCCTACCAGCCATCAGCCTAATAGACTAGTGAGTAAAATTGCATTCCTTAATTTCCACATTCAGATGTAATGATAAAGGATTTGACATATTTTCCACATTTATGAGGCAGTTGACCTGCTTGAGATGAATTCAGTGCATGTGATTTTTGTTGTTGTTGTTTTTAAACGCTGTAACTTGCAGAAGGAAGTGTGGTTGGTGATTGTGTTCTGTGTCAGTGTGGGGGCTGTAGCTCTGACTATTGTTACCGCAGTTATCATAACAGTCCAGAGGATGAACTACAGGCAAAGGTATGACTTCAGAATTGATCTGTGGGCTCGTTCTCCTTTATTCTTCGACTATCACACTTATTGATCTCATTCCTGCTTCTACAGGTCGACATCCTTCCAATTCTCAGCTCTTCAGCTGCATGAGGATGAACTCTGCGCCGCCTTTGCAAGCACTCCAAGCAGTAACCAAGCTGTCTACCAAGAAGTATCAGATGATGTGGGTTAGATGATTAAGTCATACACTCTATGCATTGCATTCAGTTGAACCGTAGAAGCAGCATTATAGTTTATTTAACAATATCAAAACAAAACAATATCGCTTTAAACATTGGTCTGAATATCCAGTTAGATCTTGATCAAGGTTTTTCAACACTCAAAGCACACTGCCCTCACAGTTTCAAGTTCTCCTAATGCCAAACACCCTAATTCCTACTCAAGGAAGGTTTGGTACTCGCTCATAAGACGGCTCTTGTACAATGGGAGTTACCAAAGTCTGGTGAAAATTTCATGTGAGTAACCTTATTGGAAAAAATGTTGATGTGTTCATGAAATAATTGATTTTATTATTTGATGCATTCAGGATATAAGTATTTCCCCCACTGTATATTTTGAGCAAAGAAAACTAGTGTCCATTCTCAATATAATGTTGTCCAGATTCTTATCAGACAAGCTATTCTAATCAAATTCAGTTTTATTTTTATAACATGTTTTAACAATAGACATTAGATGTAGATTTAGATACCTATTGAGCAAGCCAGTGGTCATAGTGGAAGAAAAAAAAAAACTCCCTGAGATGACATGAGGATGAAATCTTGAGAGGAACCAGACTTGAAATGAAGCCCTTTCTCCTCTGGGTGGCAGTGGATAGTGGGCTTTTACACAGGAGTTAAAGTCGAGTTTGTAAAGTAGTGGAAACGGACAGTGTTCAGGAAGATCTCACACCACAGGATCTCACTGGACTGGGGTGAACGGTACAGATGCAAATCAACTGGGACATATTGACTGGGATAACATGGAAGACAAATGAAACATCCTAGTGTAATTTCAAAAGTTCGATCAGTAGTCGAATGTTTGAACCACTGAGCTACCGATACCTTTCATTTCAGGTTGTTTTGAATCTCACACAGATCTGAAATGCCGAGCAACTTTATTTCACAAACTCCTCAGTATTCACGCTCGAATGAGTTGCTTTTTTTAGTTTTGTTCTTTTTTTGCTGAGATGGAAATAAATCTCATTAACAACACAGCAGTACGATTAAAAAGTGTGGGTCTGTTCACCAGACTCACATGCTGGTAATGTTCACACTAACCCCCCCCCCTCCCTCCCATATGCACGTAACTTTGGATTGGATTATATAACATGCATTTACAGTACAGTGTCCTTCAAAATTATTGGAATGGCAAGGCCAATTCTTTTGCAATTCTTTATCCAGTTATTGCAAACAAGATATATTCAACCAAACAGTGTTACTTACATGAATTTCAGGCCAGTGGTAGCTCAGTGTTTAAGATGTTAGACTACTGATTGGAAGCTCCTGAGTTCAAATCCCAGCACTGACAAGCTGCCACTCCTGGGCCCTTGAGCAAGGCCCTTAACCCTCAACTGCTCAGTTATATAAATGAGATCAAATGTATATCACTCTGAAGAATGTTGTAAGTTGTTTAACACATCTAGATGGAAATGAAAGCTGAAATGTGTCATCTCATATTCATCGCTGATCTCAAACCCAAATGTCTTCAGTATATTGCAAAAACAAAAGCATTGGACTTGCTGTTCCTATACTTTTGGATGGGATTGTAAATGTTGTAAAGTCAGAATGAACATCCCAGTTTACCATGACTCTCTATGCCCTTGCGTGGCCTAGATCTGTTACATAAGAGACAAGCTATTTAATGCCTGACCAAACCACCTTGACCCTCAAACCCTAATTGGATGGTCATTCCATAGGCGTGGGGCTTTGTACAGCCCCCTGCTGTAGTTTATTACTTTCAGCGGTGCCGTCTCAGTACTGTATATGCAAGTATAAATTTAGCTACTGAGCCAGGATACATTTTGGAGATGAAGAGGTTTGATATCGGAGGTTTAAATCGCTTCTGGTAGTTATTCGCTTTAGCGTAATTTGAGGGTATCAGACCTAGTATACAAGCTGATATTGAGAAGGAAAGTGCAATTAATTCTGTTGAATTAGGTTAAAGGATACTAAACACTCTATATTGTATGCTACAGAATTTTGGTACATGTGCTTTGATGGTAGTATTATTTGTAATTAATTTTGCTACTGTATAAAATACCAATCTAATTGTTATAAATGGTTATTTCAAAAGTAATCACCCCTGCAGTTTATGTGTCAGGTTATCTCAATCAGTGTTCCATCTATTTTTTTTCCTTGCTAAGCAAAATACCTTTCTGCTGGGTTTTTACTGGGATTGCTATTTGAGGTCCTTTTGCCACTTTCTGGTTAGCATTAGAAGAATAGCCTGGGAACACAACTCTCAAAAACATGATTCCAATCGACTACCTTTTTTATACACATTATTGTGTCCAGGTGTAGAACTTAGTGTGCTAAACCATGATTGGGTGCCTATACATACAGTTGTGGTCGGAAGTTTACATATATTCATCATGAACATGAATGTCATGGCAATATTGGGCTTTCAATAACTACTTTGAACTTTCTGGGGCAGAATGATTGTACAACATACATCTTTAATAAAAATTATTTATAATTTGGTTCAGAGTTGGTACAGAGTTCAGAGTTTTCTGTAATCAACACAGGACTAAAATGACACATACAGGGTCAAAAATATACATCTAAACACTTAGATTATTAATTCAGTGGTGCTGAAAGCTCCAAAATGTCCAGCTCGCAGCTTCTCTGTGTAAACATACTTTGCCAAGGTCTGGAAGAAGTCCCAAACTGTCACCCTCAGCTGAGAGGAAATTGGTTTGGATGGCCAGGAATAACCAAGGAACCACCAAGGCACAGGCCTGTCATGTACTGGAAGCTGCTGGAACATCAGTGTCACTGTCTACAGTCAAGTTTTAAATCGCCCTGCAATGAAAGGCCTTCAAGCCTGTGTAAAGTTTGCGGCTGATGGTCAGATGAGACAAAGATTGAGTTGTTTAGCCACAATGACCGGAAGTATGTTTGGTGTTCAGAAACACTGTACCAACTGTTAAGCATGGTGGTTGTAGCATTATGCTCTGCGGCTGTTTTGCTGCCAGTGGATCTGGTGCATTGCACAAAGTGGATGGGATAATGAAGAAGGAGGACTACCTTAGAATTATTCAGCATAATCTCAAACCATCAGCCAGACGCTTGTAACTTTTGGTCGACACAATTGGTTGTTCCAGCAGGTCAATGACCCCAAACACCCATCAAAGCTGGTTGTGGAACGGATAAAGCAGGCTAACATTAATCTTTTGGAATGGCCTTCCCAAAATCCTGATCTCAACCCAATTGAAAATTTGTGGACTGTGCTTAAAATTTGAGGCAGGGCCAGGAAACCAATACATGTCATTGAACATGACCTATTCTGCCAAGAAGAGTGGTCAAATATCCAACCAGAATTCTGCCAGAAGCTGCTTGAGGTGAAACTTGCTAAGGTCAACTAAATAATAGGTGTGCTGTATGTATATTTTTGACCTTGTGTTGACATCGGAAAACCCCAAATAAATTAAAACATGTGAACCAAATTCTTGTTTTTGTTTTTTTATTAAAGATGTATGTTGTACAATCATTCTGCCCCAGAAAAACCCCCCCCAAAAAACCAGTTCAAAGAATTCATTGAAAGCCCAATATTGTCATGACATTCATGTTCATGATGAGTGTATGCACATTTCCGACCGCAACTGTATACCCTGTATTATATATTCTGTCCTTCCTGGGAGGAAACTGAGGCATGCTTTAAGGCAACTAGCAAACAGTCGGATCCAGCAGTTCAACAAAAAAAACCTGGTATAAGCTACATTGTCCAGGAACATTACGGTAGTTTAAACCGCCTTTGATCATTTACACACCTCTGTAATGTTAACCTCAGTTACTTAGGAGTGGTGGATCTGTGGGCAAATCTTAGCCTTGGCCTTGCAACTATGGCACAGAGATATTGCCCATTCACCCCGCCGTGAGGACTAAGTTTCCACTGTGGAGAGGGTTCCACCCAGGCCTTCTTCTACCAAATCTACTGCTCTCACTCTCATGCTAGTCCTCTCTAAACGCCTGGATGCCTGTTAGTCTACACTTCTCACAATTAAAACTATTCATGGAAGAAAAATAACAAAATTCCTAGTTAAATAACAGAAGATGTTGCAGATGTTACAGTACATATGTTTGTCATCACATTCTGATAAGGAATTCAGGCAGCCCCTATTTGCTATCTTTAAAGAAAAACCTTCAAAAAATATAGTAGAAAAAAGTGCAAAAAAGGGTGTGACAAAAAAATATACCGATTTCTGCAAATGATAAATAAGAGTGCAGTAATGCTTTGGATAGTTCACTATGAAATCCAGTAGAAATCACCATAAATCCAGTATAAAAGTGATGTACAGTATACTACTTCTGCACTACGTGTTACAGTGGAGACTGAAGTGCCTTGGAGTAGATTTGGATATACTTTTAAAAAGTTGTTTAACAGTCACTAAAGCCGGAAGTTATAGGTCAGCAGTTTATTTTTAAAACAGTGTTCAGTCTGGTGACTCCCTTAATATGTAGAACAGTCGACATATTAAGTAATAAACAGTGAGAGAGGGAGCAATTTCAGACACAGCTTAGTAACTGTGCATGGCAGTGGGCCAATGAGCCTGGATTTAAGACACTCTGCTATACAGTAAGTGAAAAACCTATTAAAGAAGAGCTGTGTTCATGTGGGCCTAATGCTTCTCTCTGCGTGCTGCCTATTTTGCACTGACACTGACGATGCACTTTTGTTCTGTTTAGGATCTTATTGAATGAGCAGCGTCTTCTGAGTCCTCAACGGTGTCCTGCGATTACCAAGTTTTGCAACGGTTGATGGTCTTCAGACATCTTGATTAGAATGGATTGAACCACTGAAACTAAAGATGAATTAAGTTGAATCACAGATCAAAGAGATCATAGATAAAAGGTTATCTAACCGCATGATACACAAAGTTCAACAGCACGCATGTTTTATTTGAGCTAACTTTATATATATATATATAGATTAAGCAACTGAGCTGCAGAGTAATGCCTAACTGTTTTTACTTGATTTAGTCTTTTTTTTGTCTTTAATATAAACAAAAACAAAGTCATGTGTCATGATGTTGTATATCAATATCAGGAACAGCTATGGAATGTGTCTCATCATGATCAATGTAGATTTCTGGAACCAAAATGTTTTTTCGGGGGGAATAAAGCATTTAAGAAACTATTGTAAAAATCATTTTCATGTTTTTTTTGTTGTTGGATGATGAATGGTAGTGATGAATGAATGAGGTTCTCTGAACACTGGATCACCAGGTTTCTAACACACAGAAATCCCTTAGTGAGTGTGTGCAGGGATGCCGAAACAGGTCTTTAAAGATTTCTCTCAGCTGAGAGGAAAATCGTTATATAATTTATTTTATTTGTTATTTAATTGTTTAAATATGATCCTCCAATGGCACCTTGAAATCATTGGCCATTCTGACTTTCGTGATATATAGCCCAGTAAATGTGTTAAATCCATAGTCCGTGAAGATGTATAAACTCACGTGGTGGTGTAATATGATACTATCACAAATCAACAGCAAACAGCACTAAGACTTTTTGGCTTTAGAATCTGATACTTGAAGCAGCCATGCAAGCCCAACCATGACACTACCCCCACCATGTTTCACAGATGAGTGTGTATGTTTTATATCATGAGCAGATCCTTTTTTTCTCCACACTTTGGTCTTTCCATCACTTTGGTAGAGGATCATCTATGTATTTCTTTATGGATTCCAATCTGGCTTTCTAATTCCTACTGCTGTTGAGTGTTTGCATCTTGTGGTATGGCCTCTATATTTCTGCTCTCGAAATCTTCATGGAATGGTAGATTGTACCCCTGCCCTGTGGAGGTCGTTGGTGATGTCACTGACTGTTGTTTTGGGGTTTTTCTTCTACATAGCACTCACAATGTTTCTGTCATCAGTTGCAGTTTTCCTTGGCCGACCCGTTCGGTGTCTAGTTGGTAGTACACCAGTGCTTTGTTTCTTTTTCAAGACATTTGAAATTGTTGTATCGTCTATGCCCAATGTTTGTGCATTTGGTGCTTGGACCCTTGGTAAATGTGCACTTATAAAGCGCTTTACACTGTGTCTCATTCACCCATTCACACTCTCACACCAATGGTAGCAGAGCTGCCATGAGGCGAACATGCTAACCTCTAAGCCACTGTGCACCCTACATGCAAAACATTTTTGCTCTTGCTGAATCACTGACCTGAAAATTTTATTTTCAAATTAGTCATCCTTTTTTACTTCGTTCTGGAACAGCTGTAAGTGTGTTATTAGCATTAGGAAGAGGTTTAATTTGTGACAAGTCTAACCACCTGATTCTGGTTCTCTCAGGCTCTAGTTC